TCTATTGGTAATTTTCGACCGTATCTTTTCTATTGGTAATATCTCCCGTATCTTTTCTATTGGTAATTTTCGACCGTATCTTTTCTTATAGTAATTTTCGACCGTATCTTTTCTATTGGTAATCTACGCTTTCTCCTTTTCTTTTTTTATCTTCGTTTTCTTTCTCTTTTCCTTTCTTTTTTCCTTTTTATTAATTTGTTATCGTCTTTCCTTTCTCTTTATATAAATTCGTTTTACCTTTTATGGAAATTTTCCAAAGACGGAAAGTGATGCAATGTTTTTATTAATCGTAATTCTGAATAAAATCATTGATAAGGTTTTATTTTAGTTCCTACCAGATCTCTCCATATTTGGTATGTCTGATCGATTTCGTTCGATTTCTTTTCCTTAAATGATTTGGCATTAAGTCACCAGGTCCAATGTTGCAGTTAGCCTGGTGTTGGTGACAAAATGTTTCATTGTTGAAGGAAGAGTTTGTTCCAGTGACAGATTTTTCGACCTCAGACTGGTTCTTCTGGGAGGGACGCGTTTCTTGTTGGCCCGGCTGACAACTGTGATACGGTATGAGATTTGTTTGTAAACATTGAGATTTTTTATTTTATTTCTGTTTGATAAAACATTTCCTTTCTGGTCCCAACCAGAGTCTTGCGGTCAGAAATGGCTTCAAGACATTTACAACTGATCATTTTTTGTAAAGAAACAAAAACAAAAAACCAAACAAGATCACACACAATGGATAAAGATGTTCGTAATGTGTGATCTGCACTTCTGAGTAGATAAGCTCTCACAAATCCCTTCACTAAGTCTATTGGAACCTTTTTTCAATCAACCCATGACCTCCAACTACAACTGGAATTAAAGATGCTCTTATGTACTACATTTTTTAAGATCCCCTCTTCAAGATCCTTGTATTTTGATAGGTTTTTTGAAGATCTTCAAAGAGACATTACAATCTGCAGTGACTGTCATGTCAATAAGAAAGAACATTCTGTTTTTGTGGTCTTTGATTACGATTTCCGGAAGATTAGCTTTGAGTGTTCTGTCTGTGTGTATTGTGAAGTCCCATAAACTTGTTACAGGTCCTATCTCTGTAACCGGGCCTGGGTGATGTTCATACCAGTTTCTTTCAGTTTCCTTCCCGCCCTCCCGGGATATAATAAAAATTACATCTGGCTGAGAGACGAGAAGTTTTGAGGAGTGTGGAATCATATCTTAATTGCTGTTGTTCCAAGATTCCAAAAAATTCATTATGGTAAGAATACCAGCAATACATTTATAAAAAAATAATCACCAGTTGTAATACATTTTTATAGAAAAATAACAATCAATCCAACACTATAGTATAAAAATACATTTTTATAGTAAAATTACAAGCAATACATTTTATCATCTACAAACTATATATCTAAACATACGTTTGCTCTGAAAGTATAAAATTATGTATGTCATATACCGTACCTATGTGTTATACTGGAACACACCTATTCTATTGTTAATAGACTCACACACCTATAATAAGTAGGAGTAGTAGCAGTCGCCAGTCGCTCAGTGAGTTGGTCAGTCAGTCGATGTTGGACGACCGTTAGTCGGATATTAAAGTATCAGCCACCACAGTTAGATCGCTGCGTCATTAACTATTATATCAAGTTCCTAACGTTTTGTACGTCGAACCTTTTTAAGGACCGCCACTGTGAAAGTACTCTATAACACTATGAACACTAATAGGTATGTCCCAATCCTCATAAATACGCTGTACACTATTGTAAGTAGGGACAATATGCTGTCTAAGTAGGCCACCACTGGCAGTGGTGTACCTACTTCACGCCGCTGGCGAGTATTTTATTTTGTTGATGCTATAAAGATTACCATTTCATTTCCAACCTCCGTTTTGGTTATTCCTCATTCAGTAACCTTTCCTCGGTTACAACAATGTACAAGATATCTGTATTTAAAGCCATAAAATTGCCTACAAAAAGTTTAGGTTTTGGCATTAAATAACCCACATTGATGTTGATATGCCGCTAAACACCAAAAACACCTACCTTCCCGTAACAGATGCATATTTTCCAGACATTGGCCCATTCCATTATGCTGAGATTTAAATTCAGTGGGTGGGAAAACCGTGCAAACCTGACTACAAATTGTTCAATTTCTGTATATTTATGACATCTGCATTTCAGGTTAACACAATTGTTCATTATGTGTGCTTGGTAATTTCTAGTTAGCAAATATTGATCTCGTGCTGCAAGAATAAAGCCTTTGGATTAATCTTTTAATCCTGCACTACATAAACACTGCAGGGTACGGGGTTTGTCTACATAAGCTAAGTTGGTACGGGTGATATATTGATTATGAAGAAGCTTATCTTGTCATTGTTTCTGCATTTGGTACATTACATTTGTTTTAACTTTTGTTTAATGTGTTTTGTCGCTAAAGTAGTTAGGGTTAGGGTTCATTTGCACTTCTTCCCCAACTTGACATTTCATTTTGAATTTGTTGGCTTCCATTATTATTGAATAAAGTTTCTTAATTCATCTAGTCTTCTGTAGTTTCCAGGTATCTTTAAAGACCAATTGTTGTGGCTTTGTATGACAGTTCGGTTAATATCAGTTATGCCGCAGTTAAGGAAGTTGAAACTGTATTACAACATAGGGCCATTCAAACTGTTCATGGCTGATATTCTGTTTTGTAAATTCAGCTCTTTATTTAACACCAGACGCACACGTTTGTAGTGTTCTTCTTTTACTATCTCTTTCATTTGGGTCTTCAGTATTCCATGTCCTTCGGTGACTTATAGATATTTATAGGCTTCTTCTTATTCCAGTTCCCTAATCTTTGTCACAAAATCTCGATCTCTTGACCGAGTTTCTGTAATTCTCTCTTTCTTGAATGTTGCTTTTTCACATTAATCTAATCCGAAAATCCGTACCGATGTCACCACTGAATCATTTTACAGCATCGACGTCTTTGGTTAAAGATTTCAATATCATCCATGTAGAATAGTTAATCAAAGACTTTCGTTTTTACTTTGTATCCAGAGTTAATTACTGTTTAGTTCCTGCGAAACGGGGATTAAGGACATTCAGATTAGAAGGGCGATAGGGAGTTTTCTTGAAAGATTCCTCGTCAGATAATCACTGGGAAGTCGCAGTAATTTTGGTGCGATTTAGGTACAACATTTTCCAGTTCCATGATATATTGAAGAAAATTTACTATCACCGAGGAGATTTTATACGTTTTCAAAGACTGAAAGATCAAAGAGTGTGGGACACTAACAGAGGCTTTACGGTAATCTATTCAAGATCTACTGAGATTTTTACTTTTTTTCCAGGATTATTTTATTTATCAGTAGTTGATCTTTGCAACCATATGAATCTCTCGTTCATCGCTTCTGTTCCAGGGGAAGAATGTTGTTTTCTTCTAGAAAAGAATAAGTACAGAGGTGATCAATCTATACGTGGTGGACAGACATGTTACTGGCCTATAATTTTTCGAATCATCTGTTTTACCCGATTTTGGCAGGGGATATGTAAACCATTCTGGGACATTATTGTGATTATTAATAAGCATTGATAGAGTTTGTGCAAAGATTTTATGTATTGATGATAAATGATAGAACCCAAAATTTCGTACCTTGTCATTTCCTGGGTATTTCCATTTTGGGGATTTCGTTACAGCTTGACTAACATTATTCGTAGTTATATTTTCCCTTTCTTGTAGATTGTTATCCATCATTCGTTCTTCTTCTCGTTGGGTCCATTCTGCACTGGGGTTATATTTTTTTTGGCTGTTCCAAATATACTCCCAAAGTCTATTCAAGCTGTGCTGAGATTTCTAGCTTTTTTTCCTGCAATTTTCCCGGATTATTTTATTTATCAGTAGTTGATCTTTGCAAGAATATGAACCTCTCCTGCATCCCTTCTGTTCCAGGGGAAGAATTTTGTTTTCATCAAGTCCAGTCAGTAAGTACAGACGTGATTATTTTATGTGTGTTAGAAAGACATGTTATTGGCCTATAATTTTTTTGTAGGCGATCTGTAATACCTTCACTGATCTATTCTGGAATTTCATTGGCGTTATTAATTAGCATGGATAAAGTTTGCCCAAGAGTTTTATGGATTTATAACAGATGATAGAGCCAACAGTTTAGTAACTTGTCATTTCCTGGGAATTTCCGTTTTGGGATTTTGTTAGAGATTGCCTAACATTATTTTTGGTTATATTTTTCCATTCTTGCGCAGTTTTATCTTTCATTCTTTCTTGTTTTCGTTAAATCCACTCTGCATAAGAATTATATTCCTTTGGATTCCTCCAAATATTCTCTCAAAACGTTTGCGCTTCTTCACTAGATTGTGGCTTTTTGATTTCTATAACTGCTTTCCCAGTTTCTCTGTGAAACCTCTTGAGGCCTGTTTGGAATAAGTTATTTTTTTCGATAGAAGCTACAACGCTTTTCATATCGCCCTTTTCTCTGTGACTTTAATTGCAGTTTCTGTTTAAGTATTTCCTTGATTGGTGTAATTTAATTTACTGCTTTAATTTTATGTTTCCGCTAGATCCTCTCTCTTTTCCTTATTATTATTATTTTATTTGTATGTTAGCGTATAGTGTAGAATGTGCCATATTTATAGGGAAAGACTGGTATATATTGAGATGAGGAAAGGATCCTCTTCCTGTTTAATTGTTACTTCATTATCATTAACAAAACTTCCCCTATATGTCCTTTGGAGAACCCATTTTCCCGATTTGGAGAAAGAGTGGAGGTCAGTGATTCTTTCTTAGTAATGGTGCCAAGTAACTGAAAGTTGTTTGGAGACGAAAGTTGAATCATGGAATAAACTACTTATCGCAATTTAAAGAATCAACCTTGGCATACGACAGGTCAGAGAGTGCAACCATATCTGGCATTCATCCTCGTTATTGATAACATGTATCCAAGTAAAAACTGTCAAAAAATAAAGAAGAAACGATAAGGTCATAACATATTGTACCCATGAGTTTTATGATAAATTCAGAAAGAAAAAAAGAAAGAAAGAAAGAAAGAAGGTCATCGAAGGAGAGGAGGAAACAAAGAAAAGTATTACCAGTGATGAAAGCAAAAAAATGAAATAAATAAAAATGTTAAAAGATAAATAAATAAATAGAGAAATAAATAAATGCAATAATGAGTTTGAAAAGAAAGAAAGAAAGAAAGAAGGTAATGAATAATTAGAAGAATGTGATGGATTTAATAGATGTACGAAAGAAAGAAAGATTGCTAGCCATGACAAAAAGAAAGAAAGATTGCTAGCCATGACGAAAGAAAGAAAAAAAGAAAGAATGCTAGCCTTGACGGAAGAAAGAAAGAAAGAAAAAGAAAGAAAGATTGCTAGCCATGACGAAAGAACGAAAGAAAGAAAAAAAGAAAGAATGCTAGCCATGACAAAAGAAAGAAAGAAAGAAAGATTGCTAGCCATGACAAAAGAAAGAAAGAAAGAAAAAAAGAAAGAGTGCTAGCCATGACGAAAGAAAGAAAGAAAGAAAAAAAGAAAGAGTGCTAGCCATGACGGAAGAAAGAAAGAATGCTAGCCTTGACGGAAGAAAGAAAGAATGCTAGCCTTGACGAAAGAACGACAGAAAAAGTGCTAGCCATGACGAGAGAAAGAAAAGGAGTGCTAGCCATGACGAAAAGAACGAAAGAAAGAAAAGAATGCTAGCCATGACGAAAGAAAAGAATGCTAGCCATGACGAAAGAAAGAATGCTAGCCATGACGAAAGAAAGAATGCTAGCCATGACGAAAGAAAGAATGCTAGCCATGACGAAAGAAAGAATGCTAGCCATGACGAAAGAAAAGAATGCTAGCCATGACGAAAGAAAGAAAGAATGCTAGCCATGACGGAAGAAAGAAAGAATGCTAGCCATGACGGAAGGAAGAAAGAATGCTAGCCATGACGGAAGAAAGAAAAAATGCTAGCCTTGACGAAAGAACGACAGAAAAAATTTTGACGAGAAAGAAAGAAAAGGAGTGCTAGCCATGACGAAAGAACGAAAGAAAGAAAAATAATGCTAGCCAACGAAAGAAATTAAAGAAAAGAAAGAATGCTAGCCATGACGAAAGAAAGAATGCTAGCCAACGAAAGAAAGAATGCTAGCCATGACGAAAGAAAAGAATGCTAGCCATGACGAAAGAAAGAATGCTAGCCATGACGAAAGAAAGAATGCTAGCCATGACGGAAGAAAGAAAGAATGCTAGCCATGACGGAAGGAAGAAAGAATGCTAGCCATGACGGAAGAAAGAAAGAATGCTAGCCATGACGGAAGAAAGAAAGAATGCTAGCCATGACGGAAGAAAGAAAGAATGCTAGCCTTGACGAAAGAACGACAGAAAAAGTGCTAGCCATGACGAGAGAAAGAAAAGGAGTGCTAGCCATGACGAAAGAACGAAAGAAAGAAAGAATGCTAGCCATGACGAAAGAACGAAAGAAAGAAAGAATGCTAGCCATGACGAAAGAAAGAATGCTAGCCATGACGAAAGAAAGAATGCTAGCCATGACGAAAGAAAGAATGCTAGCCATGACGAAAGAAAGAATGCTAGCCATGACGAAAGAAAGAATGCTAGCCATGACGGAAGGAAGAATGCTAGCCATGACGGAAGGAAGAAAGAATGCTAGCCATGACGGAAGAAAGAAAGAATGCTAGCCATGACGGAAGGAAGAAAGAATGCTAGCCATGACGGAAGAAAGAAAGAATGCTAGCCATGACGGAAGAAAGAAAGAATGCTAGCCTTGACGAAAGAACGACAGAAAAAGTGCTAGCCATGACGAGAGAAAGAAAAGGAGTGCTAGCCATGACGAAAGAACGAAAGAAAGAAAGAATGCTAGCCATGACGAAAGAACGAAAGAAAGAAAGAATGCTAGCCATGACGAAAGAAAGAATGCTAGCCATGACGAAAGAAAGAATGCTAGCCATGACGAAAGAAAGAATGCTAGCCATGACGAAAGAAAGAATGCTAGCCATGACGAAAGAAAGAATGCTAGCCATGACGAAAGAAAGAATGCTAGCCATGACGAAAGAAAGAATGCTAGCCATGACGAAAGAAAGAATGCTAGCCATGACGAAAGAAAGAATGCTAGCCATGACGAAAGAAAGAATGCTAGCCATGACGAAAGAAAGAATGCTAGCCATGACGAAAGAAAGAATGCTAGCCATGACGGAAGGAAGAAAGAATGCTAGCCATGACGGAAGGAAGAAAGAATGCTAGCCATGACGGAAGGAAGAAAGAATGCTAGCCATGACGGAAGAAAGAAAGAATGCTAGCCTTGACGAAAGAACGACAGAAAAAGTGCTAGCCATGACGAGAGAAAGAAAAGGAGTGCTAGCCATGACGAAAAACGAACGAAAACCAAAAGAATGCTAGCCATGACGAAAGAACGAAAGAAAGAAAGAATGCTAGCCATGACGAAAGAAAGAATGCTAGCCATGACGAAAGAAAGAATGCTAGCCATGACGAAAGAAAGAATGCTAGCCATGACGAAAGAAAGAATGCTAGCCATGACGAAAGAAAGAATGCTAGCCATGACGAAAGAAAGAATGCTAGCCATGACGAAAGAAACAAAAAAACAAAGAAAGGAAGAAATAGTAACTTAAATATATAAAAAATATGCAACGAAATAAATTTTAATGAAAGATTACGAAAAAAAGTGAAAACATTGAAGAAATAAATTAAGAAACAAAGAAAGAAACGATCGAAAGAAAGAGAAGAAATTAAATGTGGCGCTAACAGTTAAGAAAGAAAGGAATTGTGTTTTACAGACAAAATAAATATGCAAATGTATATCTAAACGAAAAGTTGATAGAAAAAAGTGGTAAAATGATGGAATGAAATAAGAAAGAATGAAAGACTAAAATTGTAAAGAAAAAAGGGCTAGAAGGGATTGTTGTATCTGAAAGTCGCCATAATTCTTTCACCCTCGAATGCCAATTCAATGAATTCTAGAACGTGTTCTATTGTGAAACTTCCCTTGAAACCTTGGAAGAGAGACAAGAACATCTGTTATTGCTTCAGCGAAACAAACTAGCACGACTATTCTTCATTTAACTATTGGCACTGATCTATCCAAAGATTAGGTCTCAGATTCCATTACTTCCAATTCATTTGAGAAAGCTCTACTGCACTCAGCCTTCTGATATGGAAATCACAACCTGAATACTGTCGAAACAAATAAACGTTTATACTTCCAGATGAAAATTGTTGGGCCTGACATTAGCATGTCATGAAGTTTGCAAAGTTTACTGATCTAAAGGAAATCTACGTTGATACTCATTGGTAGATAACCCATTCCATTAAATGTTTCACAATACTGAAACAAGATTCATTATCCTTAATGAGTGGAATTAAATTTCAAATTAAAATCTAGGTATCTATAATGGTTTGCTAGTACCTACTAATACCCGGAGTCTTGATCGCGGTGTACATGTTATTCGAAAACCAGAATAGTATAAAAAGGTAAAACCAAAAATGTTATCATTTGAATTCAAAGGGATTTTTTCGATGAATTAATTATTGGTGGGTAAGTGGCATGAGCCATGAAGGACCCTTTGACGAAGTTCTACCATCTCATACACCACATTATCAAACCTCTCCTACATTTGGGTTTCTACGTAAGTCAGACGATGATTTCAATTATTTCGAATATACCAATATATATTTTAGCCTGGAACCTCAAAAGCCACATCTAGAAATGATCATGCAAGACTTGGATGCTTAGTTGAAAATGCATATGTGTGCCTATTGTCTTGAGGTATAGTAATGAAAAAATAATATTTTTCTGAATGGACAATACAATCATCACACACACACATATATATATATATATATATATATATATATATATATATATTAATTGATTTAAAATACGGTTTTTTTCGCTACACAGTTCTAACCATGTTTCAAAAATGGAAGCTAAAAGCCACTAATTTGATTTTGTGATTAAATTAAAGACATTAGTTCTATTTCATCCTCAAGCGAATTTTGGAGTAACTTTTTAAAATTACTGGGTTTTAAATACACAGCTAAAACAAAATTCATGTTTCCAAGGTTACAGATAAATCTATTTTATATATATATATATGCAGTTTTTATATATATTATTTATATATTATATATGCGCAGTACTTATTGGAAAGCGCTCAATATCAGTGATAGAGCTAACATATTTAGTTGGATTGATGTGAGTTTGTGACCCTGGGTTTCACGCTATTTGCGATCGTCAGACAAACTGATTAATTCTCTTAAATTTTGGATTTATATATGGTTGCGTATATCGGTGTTTTTGTGGTAGTGGGTGGGAAAATTGTCGTCGGAGCGCCACTCATACGTACCTAGACATGCCACCATAACACCATCAATTATTTTCCAGTTCAAACTACCAACATAATAATTATAATTATTGTTATTACCATTCCACCACCATTACTACAATCGATTCTACCATTTTACAATAATTATTTGCTGCTACAATTGTTATCCTCATCCGCTCCCCCATCATTACTACGACATCACAATTACCATTGCCGCATTTGTCCCCAATAACTACTGCACCACACTTACCATTATCACATCAGTCCACAATTATACTTCCTTACACCCTAGCAAAATTAATACCACCGCATAAATAAAGTATTATAAATTGGAGTTTCTACCATTTACATAAGCGCAATCGCCAAAAAACAAGCAAATAACCGGCTTTAAAGTAATAAAACAGCATTAAAAATTTAAAAATAATATCAATTTTACCTACCATAGTCTTGCACAGACCCCATTTTAAACACACACACACACACACTCACACGGATAGATGTGTGAACGTACGTGCATACGTATAGATGTGTGTGCGAAAAAACATGATTCCGCGAGCAAAATAGATGAGAACGGTTTGTGCGTTGACAATGCGACAGACGAGAGAAATTCGCCACATGGCCCAACATTGAATACAGCGACTAATTGCGTACGCATGTACGCAACGACACATGGATGCGCATATAAGCCCAGTTGCACACTATTCATATATGTTTATGTTTGTGTGAAGTGCAATGCGTGAACGTGCGTGTATGCATGTCTTTTTATGTATGAGTGGCGTTCCGATGAAAATTTTCCTCCCACTACGACAAAAACACCCCAGTGAGCGAAATAAAGGGTTCAGAACGACATTCCAACCACCTGAAGAAGGCTGGAGCGTACAACGGCCGAAACATTGTAAAAAATATGGCGACAAAGATGAGGACAATAGTCCGAATAATGCAAATATTGTACATAATACCTCATCTCAGAAATATAGACAAAAACACCAATATACGCAACCATATATAAATCCAAAATTTAAAAATGAATCAGTTTTTCTGACGATCGCAAATAGCGTGAAACCCAGAGTCACAAACTCACAATCCAACTAAATATATATATATATGTGTGTGTGTGTGTGTGTGTGTGTGTGTGTGTGTGTGTATGTGTGTGTTTCTGTGTGTATGTATGCGTGTGTTTCGCCAGCAAATGTTCTCGGCATGTCTGATTGAATAGATTACAAGCACTGTCTCCTTATTTTTATCATAATCCTTTCATATTCAAGAATATTTTTCCGTATATTACAGTTATATAAAGCAAGAAATGCACTTTAACAGTGAGAACCAATTTTATTTCCCAAGTATTTTACATCTCTTTCTGATGTGCAACTGGTAAGGCAAAAACTATGTGTAGTTATCCATTATTGAATATCATTTAAACACAAAAGAAAAAATAATTAAGACATGTCACATTAAATAATTTAGAGAAGTTTTGTCTACTTATTGGTAATATGAACCCCTCATATTTACGGACAATTTTCTCAGTATCCTTATTAAAGGAAGAAAGAAAATTACCATGTTGATGCCTATCCATTTTATTCACAAATTTATTAAAAAATTGAAGCCAACACTAAAAATTAATTATCAGTACTGCACAAAACTTTCAAAATGTTTACAGTAGATAGTCTAATATAACTAGGCTAAAACTAATGGCTTTACATAGATTTTTTAAATAGATAAACAACTCAATAATTTAGTTACATCCTTTGACGTTCTGCGGGTGTATTTTTACAATATAATATTTTAAAATTGTACTGTACATACTTTTAGCGTTTTTCACTTCACAAGTAAAAATTTAATTTTCGGATGACAACAATTTTGTCTTCGCAAAAATAAGGCCCTGACGATGACATTATGCTAATGCCGAAACTACTTGAAAATAAAATGGATATAAATCGACATGGTAATTTTCTTTCTTCCTTTAATAAGGATACTAAGAAACACGTTCGAAATATGAGAAGATCCTATTAAGAATAAGTAAATAAATCTTGTCTAAATTATTTAATCAGATATGTCTTAATATCCCAAGCGTAGTAGCAAAATTGTCCGAATCGTGTAACGGCATAATTGTCCATACCACAAAATGTTTAATATCTAAAAAAACCACTAAACTGAGTTTCTTTTTCCATATTTTTAGATAAGACGTTTAGCCATCTTGATACCATTTATCGTAAGAATCAGTGAAAGAACCTTTGAGTTATTTAAGTAAAAGGAGAGTAGGTTAAAATTGTTTTGTGTCAGACCCGCTATGCCTTCCCAAAAATAGGGAAAATTTGAGAGAAAAACTGAATCAGGAGGTCACAACAGGAAGATGGATCATCATTTCAACTTAGGGGTTAAGAGATCAATTAGCACGTGAGAGAGCAGTTTCGGCTATGACAGTCCAAAAAACAGTGATAAAGGACTTGAAAATGAAATCGTACGTGAAATATCTGTGGCACCTTGTTACTCCTGGACAGAAAGTTTATAGGTTGGAGAGGCCGAAGATCATCGTGAATAATTTGAAACTGATCCTCGAATATATATATATATATATATATATATATATATATATATATATATATATAGGTACGATGATAACAAATAGATTAGCTCAATACAGAGTAGAGCAATATTATTTATTTTAGGATATTACATTGAAAACATGTAAAAATCGCTAGACAATTGCAATCGTGTTTCAATGCATATCAATGCAACACATCAGGCGACTGTAAATTTCTGACGAGTAAACAATTTATTTAAATTTAAAAGTAAAATACTACCTCTTTTAACGAAAGAAAAGAAAAAAAAGATGGTTATAATGTTTGGTCTGATCACCCAATCAACTATGAACTACGTTAAATTCAAACTAAGCGAAAAAGCAAACATTTAAAATTATTCTTATAAATTGGTCATGACCAGTAGATTGGCACCTAACAGCAGCCACACAAACTGAAGCGGATGCATATGCTTACATAAATTATACAAACCAGACATTGCAGTTACCTAAGAAATAAAAGTGGGTGGCGAGGTAATTTAACAAAATGCTAAACAAGTTATATGTTTTGTGAATTTCCTACATAAAAATCTACAAAATTGATAAATTAATAGTTTCTTTAAGAAACTAGTAAATAATTCAATCATATAATAAATTATATGGTAAATTAATATGCAACTTTAAAATGAAGATCCTTCAAATAAGATGTTAAGAACACTAACGAATCAATGTAAAATGTCAAAAATATCAAACAAATACCAATGCATCTGCGAGAAATGTTACCAATACTACCAGGAAATTAGTACATAATTATATTAAATCCAGATTAATCTTAAAAATAGAAAGTTAAGCCATATATAACGCAACACAGTACAATTAATATATACGAAAAAGCATGATAAAATTCCAAACTAAATTGTCAGGTAAAAGGTAAACTATGCTTGCAATTTACTCTTGATTGACTTCTTTGATTTAACAATTAATTTTTATCAAAAAATCTGATGATTTCGCGTTTTTCATGTAAATACAGAAAATAGTGTTCATATAAAGATTTACATATCCTTGCCATTTTTAAAAATTTCGATTTCACCTGAGGAATCTTTTACGCTTCAAAAATATTTAGAAAGTGGTTTCTGTATATAGTATTGGTAAAAGACAAGATCTGTTGACACCGC